TCCTAAAAGAACGCCTCGATCGACCAATCTGCGTTAGTTCGGGAAAAAATCGACCAATCACAGAACGTTATCCGCTGAACTGAGGCAACACTAATGAGTTTTACTTAGAACAGTTTCTATATCACCACCTGGTGAATCATCACCTTTTATTGATCACCTTTATAAATAGTCTTATAAATTCTGATACTTTATATATATATATATATATATATATATATATATATATATATATATATATATATATATATATATATAGCTAAGGCTATGCCCATCTCTCTTTTCCTCTCCCTCTCTCTTTCCTCTCTCTCTCTCTTTTCCTCTCTCTCTCTTTTCTCTCTCTCTCTCTCTCTCTCTCTCTCTCTCTCTCTCTCTCTCTCTCTCTCTCTCTCTCTCTCTCTCTCTCTCTCTCTCTCTCTCTCTCTATAATATATATATATATATATATATATATATATATATATATATATATATATTCATAAACATACATTTGTATGTATATTTATGTATGTATATACATTATACATACAAACATTCACATATACACATATATCTATTAATCTATATATGCATATATATATATTATATTACATTATATATATATATATATATATATATATATATATATATATATGTAGGCCTATATATATACATATGCCAAAAGATATGCAGTACATGTATATATCTAGTCATATATATATATATATATATATATATATATATATATATATATATATATATATATATATATATATATATATATATATACATATACATATATTTTTGTAAAATAGAATTGTGTGTATATATGCATGTATGAATATAGTGTATATATATATATAGACACATATGTAGAGGGAAAGATATCACATACATATATATTCATATATATCTCACAAAAAAAAAATCAAGCATTTCGTTATATTTTCATAAGATATTATGCTTGAAATTTGTTACAATCCAGTAAAACATTCATCTTAATCATTATTCATAAAGAAATGGATCCAATGCTAAATGTAATTTTACATTAGGCTATTAAGAGGCGTGTTTGTATATTGGTAACATTTGTTATTAAATATTTATTATGTTTTGTTGCTATAGAGGAAAATAGTCATAATGATGGAATTATGCATTTTCATTCAGATTTCGTACTTGAAGATGTGTTAGAGATCCTTTAATTCATGATAAATTAAACTTGCTGAGTGATTTACATCAAGTGTTTCCACACCTCTTTGCATTGGCAAAGGCCAATTCTTATTTACATTAGTCATATTGTTTTTTTCCGTTACTATGCATCCTCAGTAGGCTGCTCTTGCACATTAATAAATTTCCACATGGCAAAGTGACATTTACACACTCCTGAAGGTATTTATGAAGCTGATATGAGCTGAGGAGGGTCGCTACGATAAGCGTCACGAGAGGTTTCGGGCTCCCGTAAATGTCTCTCGTACGGAGATGTGTTTACGACCTCGGGAGTGTTTTGAAAATCCGCTCGTTGCGAGAAACTAGAGAGTAACTTGTTTTACGATATAAACAGACCATTTACGATATCGTAAGACGATAGTAAATCCGGCCCCTGATTTATATATATCCAGTTAGAGCATATGTAGTATGCTCGTGTGGTGAGTGTCTTGACTAGATTTCGTTTGTATGTGAGTGGGATGAATGAAGAGAACTTTGAACACAATCCAGTAAATGTGGGTTTTCTGTACATTGATATGCCAAAGCTGTTTCCAAGGTGGGGAGTATGCATATCCAAAAAAGGCAACTTTCCATCTTTTTCATACTCAACAGTGAATTTCATACTCTGGTGTTGCGAGTTGAGGTAGCTAAGAAATTCTTGAACATGTTCCTGTGATTTGAATATGAGGAAAGTAACATCAACAAATCTTTTGTAATACTAAGGTTTGAAAGGTATAGTGCAGTTTGAAAGGCAAATGTGTTCATAATGACATAAAAATGCATTAGCAAGCGTAGGGCCAAGTGGTGATCACATAGCTACGCCATTTCGCTGTATAAACAACTGGTTATTAAAAATGAAATGGCAATCTTGGACTGACAGCTCAAGCATCTTTCTTAAATTTCTTTCGAGAAACCTTGGACTGTTTCAACTGTCTGAAACAAGTTGTTCATGCAAATGTCTATTGTTTCTTTCAGTGGTATATTAGTAAATAATGTAACAATATCAAAACTGACCATACAGCACTTGTCAAAACTACTAGTGGTAATTTCTTTGGCAAAGGTGAATGAATCCTTTACTGTAAATATATTTGTGGTTAGAGGTGTTAGATTTGGAACAAGGAATTTAGCTAGTTGGTAACTGCATGTTCCTATGGCAGATAATATGGGACGTAGAGGAATTCCGTCCTTATGCGCCTTTGGGAGCCCGTACATAATTCAAGGTGTTGATCCTTTTGTATACAAATTTCAGAAGGTATTTTCTTCCCTACTTCATCCGATATGGGCCTTTGGTTGTTGTTTCTCCTTGAGTTGATGGAAGGCACATTTTATGTTTCCTGATATTCTTCAATCATGTTGTATTACCCGTATTAAGTAAAGTATAACGGGCAAGTAAGATGTAACAAATCAGGGAACTTTGAACAATGTAAATACTCGAAGTCACATCATAATTCTATCATTGTTATTTGCTAAAAATAGTTGCCGGTTTACTGGACACATTAAAGCATAATATGATACTTTTCCCTCCTATTTTTCAAAGCTGGCATTTCTCTACAAGTATTTGCTTGTAGACGGACCTTCCCCTGTTGAAGGTTTCCCACAGGCTTCCCAGTTCCTGAAACCCGAGTTCTTCCAGGTCCTGTGAGTTAGCATTTGTAATCTCACACCGCGCTTTCTCCTTCTTTCCATCTGCAACATCCATTTTCTTGCTACGAATTATACTCGTATTATCAATGATCAGCTCATCAGGAAGCTTTTGCTCCCTTTCAGAGAATTTCGAAGAGCAAGCCTTTAACATGAGTCGTATTGCGCACCCAAAATGTGCCAATACAAATCTCAAAAGTATGGTATATATATTTTTTTAAATCTGTGGTCGAAGGTCAGGTGAGACATGATTGGTGGAGAGAATTCGCCTTTAGTCACCATTCTTCGCTTCTTCGAAGACCATCAGCATTTAATCTTTTTTCGTGGTTATGTTTACGAAATATCGTTGAATTTCATGACCTGCATCTTCGATAGATGGTAAATTGTACAACACTTTCAATCTAAAACTTATAGCGCGGATTCCTATAACCTAAAACATCACATTAAGGAGTACATTACCAGCCGCAGAAGCAACAATCGCTCTTATGGTGGCAGTGGAAGCGATGCTATTCTGTGCGTGTGTTTCGTCGGAAGTTTGCACAGTAAATGGCAAATGTTTAAAGAGAGTGAATATACCAAGTCCTCTATACAGTTCTGTACTTGCAGGAACTGTCAGTCTACGAGACTGACTGTTTAAAATGTTTAGATTAAGCAAATAATCCAGTATACCAGGGTGCTTTTTGTGTGTGCAATTTTGTTTGTGTATTTCCAATATATACAGCTTCACCTCACCTTGCAAAGCCTGCAGTTCAGTTCCAGTTAAAAGGATCTTTGCATCTCTCTCTCTCTCTCTCTCTCTCTCTCTCTCTCTCTCTCTCTCTCTCTCTCTCTCTCTCTCTCTCTCTCTCTCTCTCTCTCTCTCTCTCTCTCTCTCTCTCTCTCTCCCTATCTCTCCTCTCTCTCCCTATCTTCCTCTCTCCCTATCTCTCTCTCTCTCTCCCTATCTCTCGCTCTCTCTCCCTATCTCTCGCTCTCTCCCTATCTCTCCTCTCTCTCCTATTCTCTCTCTCTCTCCCATCTCTCTCTCTCTCCCTATCTCTCGCTCTCTCTCCCTATCTCTCTCGCTTCTCTCTCCCTATCTCTCTCTCTCTCCCTATCTCCTCTCTCTCCCTATCTCTCGCTCTCTCTCCCTATCTCTCTCTCTCTCTCCCTATCTCTCGCTCTCTCTCCCTATCTCTCGCTCTCTCTCCCTATCTCTCTCTCTCTCCTCATCTCTCTGCTCTCATCTCTCCTTCTCTCTCTCTCTCTCCTAATCTCTCGCTCTCTCTCCTATCTCTCTCTCTCTATCTCTCCTCTCTCTCCCTATCTGCTCCTCTCTCTCCCCCTATCTCTCTCTCTCTCTCCCTATCTCTCTCTCTCCTCCCTATCTCTCCTCTCTCTCTCTCTCTCTCTCTCTCTCTCTCTCTCTCCTCTCTCTCTCTCTATCGCTCTTCTCTCTCTCTCTCTCCTCTCTCTCTCTCTCTCTCTCTCTCTCTCTCTCTCTCTCTCTCTCTCTCTCTCCTATCTCTCTCTCTCTCTCTCTCTCTCTCTCTCTCTCTCTCTCTCTCTCTCTCTCTCTCTCTCTCTCTCTCTCTCTCTCTCTCTCTCTCTCTCTCGCTCTCTCTCCTCTCTCGCTCTCTCTCCTCCCTCTCTCCTCTCTCATCTCTCGCTCTCTCCTATCTCTCTCTCCTCTCTCCTCTCTCCTCTCTCTATCTTCTCTCTCTCTTCTTCTATCTCTCTCTCTCTCTCTCTCTCTCTCTCTCTCTCTCTCTCTCTTCTCTCTCCCCTCTCTCCCTCTCTCTCTCTCTCTCTCTCTCTCTCTCTCTCTCTTTCTCTCTCCTCTCTCCTCTCTTCCGATCTCTCTCCCTCTCCCTCTTGTCTCTCTCCCTCTCTCCCTCTCTCTCTATCTCTATCTTTTTTTCTCTCTTTCTCTCTCTCCCTCTCCCTCTCCAGTGTGTCTACTGCGGGGAGGGAGAGTGGTCGGGTTGGGTGTGGTTGAGATGGAGTGTCTGGATTTAGAGTGGCAAAAGAACTTGACTGGGGGAGGCAGAATGTAGAAGTGGAAGTGGGGAAGTAAGTAGATATAGGGGAGGGTGTAGAGCATCTTGGAAGGAGGGGAGGGAGGGGCAGAGCGACCCACACCTCATCGACGTGCTTCCTGTCTGGCTTCACGCAGAGTGAGACCAAGATCTGAGAGCTGCTACCTCAGACGCAAACTTGTAGATGGGGCAGCCTCTATAAAATACATTATGGAGGCCGCCGCAGTTAGCACATGTGCGTGATTGTGTAGAGCAGTTTGATCGGTTATGAACAGGTTGGGCACAAAGGGGGTATCGGGCTGAGGAACGGCAGTGTTTGGCAGGATGTGCTAAACGCCAACAGTTTTGACAATGACGGGGAGGTTGATATGGTCGGAGAGAGAGGGATTGTCCATCAATACAGATATTTAAAGGGAAGGTCATGTCTACGGAAAGTAATGTTGGTGAGGTTTTTACAATCTCTAGGAGGAATGGAGTAGCACTGTACTGATATCACCTCATGGTCTGTGAGGCAGGCGAGTAAGTCTTCTCTACAATCTGACCACTCTTTGGTATCGATAGGGCAGCTTGCTGGGGAGACACAGTTCGGGTACAATGGATGAGGTTCTGCAGGAATGGGGTTGCCAGAGAGATCAGTTAGATTTGTTAATGCTATATAGCTTTAGCTTCAGATTTGACTGTTACGAGACGGGAACGATCAGGTCGGGTACGGAAAGGGACTTTGCCTACTAGTTTTTGGAGACATAGATGAAAGAGAAGTGTTGCCTGAGTAAGGAGCTGAAGGAGGGATCACGAAAAATCGGTATTGTTGAGGGGGGGTAGTATTACGGTGAGGCAGAGAATAAGGCTATAAAGTAGTATTAAGAGTGGATGGGGTGATTGATGAAGAAGGTTGTGGGGGATAGAGGTGCAGTTGAGGAAATTGAGAGAGTAGGAATGTCTCCTGGAGATTGAGTCTCGCCTTGGGTGGGTAATGTACTAGCAGGCATTGAGGGGTGGGTTGTTGTAGTTTTCAGAGTCGTGGTCAAAGGAGAGCCTAGGGTCGGGAAACCGGGAGAGTTTGAATTGGCTGGGCTGTTTGATGAAGGGGCAAGCTTCATTGCCCCTAATAAGGGTATTACATCTTCATTACTGGCCATAAGAAGCCTTGACTATGTTGGGGAAATAAACAGTCCACAAGGGCTATACAACTAAAACAGGGGAATACCGTGCCCACAGTTCCCTCAGGCCGTTCAAGACTGGCATAAAGTCAGCCTTTCATCGTTTTAGCATGGCTCTTACACCTTAGGACAGGGGTGGGCAATAATTTTTTTCAAGGGGCCACATGAGAAACCTGAATTGTGTCAGAGGGCCACATCAACGAAAATTTGAACTTAATTCTGCTTAACTTTCTTCCATTGTAAAATGTACGGCCGCGGGCCGTAGTTTGCCCAGGTCTGACGTGAATCAAAAAAGGGGTTGAAGAAGGGATGGAAACGAAAGAGCAGGAGGGAGAAAAGACCATGCAAAATTGGTTGAGTCGAGGGCTGAGGCCCAAGGTAGGGGAGATCCCAATGGGCAAGGGATTGAGAGGGGTGGGGGAAGGTTTTGAAGTGGACCCTTTGGGCAGTCAAAGCCAATCTGGTACCAGGATCTAGATATCCTCAACCGGTGGGACCTAACAAAGACTTGGAGGAGGCTATTTTCGTTGTTGGAATCACCTCCCGAGCCATGAGGACTGACTGACATCTCAAAACCAGCTCAATTATGCTGGAAACCACGTAATTCTTTATGGTGTAGAAATTCCTCATAAGCTACACCCCACCCACTGACGTACCCTTATGATGTCTATGGACAAAATACAGAATTATGCATAATTGGGCTGCACAATGAGTGAATTTCAGACATCAAGAATTTTGAATGCAATCAAGGTGGTAGGACAAACTATCGGAGGCTTATTTATGATAAAGAATAATCGTGTTCTGCTGCCCTAATTTATGTGATTACTAGGTCCTAGACATTATACACGACTAAAGAAGTGGCGCTGTAATTGTACATAATACCTGCTCAGCTAGTGCATAATCACTTCAACATCACTACCCGTCCCTCAGCTCTACACCCACACTCCATCCCTTTAGAGCGACATTAGTTAAACGAGCGTAACACTTTTTCGAGCTGCTTCCTAAACTGAAATTCAGGCGTTTTGAACTCGCATTTTGGCTGGGCTGAAGGACCGAATTTTATTTATATTAGTCACATTGTGTTTTTGAGCAAGTATAGGCAGTATACATACGGCGACATAATATACGATAATTTCGTTAATAAATCTTACTCATATGTAAACCCATTACTGTATTTCAGTTTCATTTAGTCCGCCAATTCTTATATCGGTTCCCGTTTTTCGACTTTCAACCAATATGTGAGTGTACCCTTTCTATTTTTAAAAACTAAGTAGCCTTTCAAGGTTTTGAAAAAATAAGGTCTTGACGGTAAAACATTCACAATCATTATGATAAAAATATTAACATTCAATATCGTAAAAATATGAGCATAAAATGTCATTTAATTCAACAGATAAGACTATGGATAAAAAACCACAAATGTTTTCAAAATGGTTTATTGGAAAGCTGCCCCTCAGGATTTTTTATTTGGCCTCCATTTTAACCTGGCTCTGTAATATTTTTAAGTGAGACCCATCAACCTTGGCCTGTCTCTCCAAGGTCCCTAAAAGGGTCTCCATTACTTTCACCTTCTTATCGTGTACCTTTAGTTTGGCGTCATTTAGCCTGATCTGCCTCTCCAAGCATCTAAACTGTGCTTCTTCTATTCTGGCGTGTCGCTCTAAGCTCTGCAACTGAGCCTCCTCTATCTTGGCCTGTCTTTCCAGGCTTTTCAATTGGGCATGTTCTATCTTGGCCTGTGTCTCCAACATTTTTAGTTGAACTTGCCATAACTTTCTTTCCATCGAAAGAGGAGGGGCGATTTCTTCTTTCCCATCATCAGTATTTGTGAAAGTGTCTACAATTTCTTCAGCAGCAGTACTACTTTGCACAGGGACTTCAGCTAAAGTCTTCTGCTCATTTTCAGAGACCAGTGATACACCAGCAATGGCATCGATTCCTGTAAGAATACAAAACACGTGGATATTAAAACAAGCTTGTCAATGGCATGATGTCAAGGGTCGTGTTACACAGCCTCACTGACACGTGTCAACCATTTTTTGGTCAATATCTGAAGTATCCTACCATCAGCATGAGGAGGGAGACCAGATCTATCCGGCTGGTCCTGACTCGGTTCTTCATTCTGCCCGATCCCTTGTGCATCTTGGGACTCGCATTCTTGCAGAATACAAAAGCCATGTCTATTAATGCAAGTTTCCTAAGATCATTATGTCAAGGGTCGTATTACACAGGTACAGTGGCACAAGTCTACTATTGTTACTTCAATATCTAAAATATCATACCATCAATAGGAAGAGGGAGATTGGATTTATCTGCCGGGTCCTGACTCGGTTCTTCACTCTGCCCGATCCCTTGTGCCCTCTGGAGCGCGCTTTCTTGCAGCACTCTGGAAAAGGAAATCAACGAAAAAGCAATTTTTCCTGACTGAGAATGACAACCAACCACACATTAAAGGCATAACTGCAATAAAAATAGATATAAAGAAACTCCACATAAAACATGTGTGAACATATACATTTACTTAAATATTTGTAATGTTTTTTTGCGACTGAAAAGATGGACCTCTGGTAGCAAGAGAGAGAGAGAGAGAGAGAGAGAGAGAGAGGAGAGAGAGAGAGAGAGAGAGAGAGAGAGAGAGAGAGAGAGAGAGAGAGAGAGAGAGAGAGAGAGAGGGGGATACGGGCGTGATGGAAGTCGTGATAATAACGCCGTGGTGGGTGGGAGTGCCTGCCTTGTTAACGCTCTTGTTTGGCACTTCCTGTCATATGACACTCGGTGGCACATGTTCCAGGCCAGCCGAGGCTTCGGCTATGGCACTGCGACCGGCCGAGGAGGAAGCCATTGGGCACGCCAGAGGGACGCCATCCGAAGCGCGCTCAGATTTGGATGTGTTAAGAGGTCAATTTTGGCCAAAAAATAATAAAAACAGCGCATGGCAGTAAAACGAGAGAGAGAGAGAGAGAGAGAGAGAGAGAGAGAGAGAGTGAGAGTGAGAGTGAGAGTGAGAGTGAGGAGAGTGAGAGTGAGAGTGAGGGAGAGAGAGGAGAGTGAGAGTGAGAGTGAGGAAGGGAGGGAGAGAGAGAGAGGAGGGAGAGGAGAGAGAGAAGGAGGGAGGAGGAAGGGAGGGAGAGAGAGAGGAGGGAGAGAGTGAGGAGAGGAGTGAGGAGGGAGGAGAGAGGAGGGAGGAGAAGGGAGAGAGAGGAGGAGGGAGTGAGTGAGGGAGAAGAGAGAGGAGGAAGAGGGAGGGAAGGGGAGGGAGGAGAGAGAGAGAAGAGACGAGAGAAAGGGAGAGAGAAGAACAATGAGAGAGAGAGAGAGAGAGAGAGAGAGTGAGAGTGAGAGTGGAGAGTGAGAGTGAGAGATGAGAGAGTGAGAGTGAGAGTGAGAGTGAGAGTGAGGGAGAGTGAGAGTGAGAGTGAGGGAGAGGGAGAGTGAGAGTGAGAGTGAGGAAGGAGGGAGAGGAGAGAGAGGAGGAGGGAGAGAGAGAGGAGGGAGTGGGAAGGGAGAGGGAGAGAGAGAGGAGGAGAGAAAGGGAGAGAGAGAGAGAGAGAGAGAGGGAGTGAGGGGAGAGGAGAGAGGAGAGGAGGGAGTGAGGAGGGAGAGAGAGAGAGGGGAGAGAAGAGAAGAGTAGGAGGGAGTCGAAGGGAGGGAGAGAGAGAGAGAGAGAGAGGGAGAGAGAAGGAGAGAGAGAGAGAGAAGAGAGAGAGGAAGAGAGGAAGAGACGAGAGAGAGAGAAAGAGAGAGAGAGAGAGAGAGAGCGAAGATAGAAAGAGAAGAGGGAAGGGGAGGAGAGAGAGAGGAGGAGGGAGAGGGAGAGAGAGAGAAAGAAGAGAGATGAGAAGGGGAGCAGGGGAGGGAGGAGGGAGGGAGGGAGGAGAGAGAGAGAGAGAGGAGGGAGTGATGGAGGGAGAGAGAGAGGAGGAGTGAGGAGGGAGAGAGAGAGAGAGGAGGGAGTGAGGGAGGGAAGAGAGAGAGAGAGGAGGGGAGTGAGATGGGAGAGGAAGAGAGAGAGAGGGAGGGAGTGAGGGAGGGAGAGAGAGAGAGAGGAGGGAGTGAGGGAGGGAGAGAGAGAGAGAGGGAGTGAGGGAAGGGAGAGAGAGAGAGAGGAGGGAGTGAGGGAGGGGAGAGAGAGAGAGAGGAGGGAGAGAGAAAGAGAGAAAGAGAAAGAAGAGAGAGGGAGTGAGGGGGGAGAGAGAAAGAGAGAAAGAGAGAAAGAGAGAGAAAGAGAAAGAGAAAGAGAGAGAGAGAGAGAGAGAGAGAGAGAGAGAGAGAGAGAGAAGAGAGAGAGAGAGAGAGAGAGAGAGAGAAGAGAGAGAGAGAGAAGAGCAGAAGAGAGAAGAGAGAGAGAGAGAGAAAGAGAGAAAGAGAGAGAAGAAGAGAGAGAGAGACGAGGAAAGAAGAGAGAGAGAAAGGAGAGAGAAGAAGAGGAGGAGAGAAGAGAAAAGAGAGAGAGAGAGAGAGTGAGAGAGAAAGAGAGAGAGAGAGAAAGAAAGAGAGAAAGAGAGAAAGAGAGAAGAGAGTAAAGAGAAAAGATAAGAGAAAGAGAAAGAGAAAGAGAAAAGAGAGAGAGAGTAGAGAAGAGAGAGAGAGGAGAGGAGAGAGAGAGAGAGCGAGGGGAAGAGAGAGAGAGAGAGAGAGAGAGAGAGACGAGAGAGAGAGAGAAAGAAGAGAGAGAAAGAAAGAGAGAGAAGAAAAAGATGAGAGAGAAAGAGAGAGAGGAAGAGAGAAGAGAGAGAGAGCGAAGAGAGCAAGAGGAGACGGAGGGGAGGAGAGAGAGAGATGAGAGAGTGAGAGAGAGGAGAGGAGAGAGAGAGAGAGGGATGAGGACAGAAGGAGGGAGGGAGGGGAGAAAGAGGAGGAGGAAGAGAGAGAGAGAAAAGAAAGAGAGAGGAAGAGAAAAGAAGGAGAGAGAAGAGAGAAAGAGAGCAAAAGAGGAGAGGAAAGAAGAAAAGAGAAGAGAGAGAAAGAGAGAAAGAGGGGAAGAAAAAAGAAAGATGAAATAGAAGATAATAGGAGAGAGAAGATGAAAGAGAGAAGAAAGAGAAAGGGAGAGAGAAAATGAGAATTAGAGGAGGAAAGAGAAACGAGAGAGAAGAGAAGAAGAGAAGAAAGGAGAGCGAGAGAGAGAGAGAGAAAGAGAGAAAGAGAGAAAGGAGAGGAGACGAGAGATGGAGAGAGAGAGAGAAGAGAGAGGAGAGAGAGAGAGAGAGCAGAGAGAGAAGAGAAGAGAGAGAGAGAGAGAGAAAAAAGAGAGAGAAAGAGAGCAAATAGAGGGACTAGAGAGTAGAGAAGAAAGAGAGAGAGAGAGAGAAAAGAGAGAGCAGAGAGAAGAGAAGAGAAGGAGGAAGAAGAAGAGAGGAAGAAGAGAGGAAGAGAGGGAGAGAGAGAGAGAGAGAGATGTAAGAGAGAGGAGAGAGAGAGAGAAGAGAGAGGAGAGAGAGGAGAGAAGAGAGAAGAGGAGAGAGAGAGAACGAGAGAAGAGAAGAGAGAGAGAGGAGAAGAGAAGAGAGAAGAAGAGAGAGACGAAGAGAGAGAGAGAGAGAAGAGAGAGAGAGAGAGGGAGAGAGAGAGATGAGAAGAGAGAGAGAAAGAGAGAGAGAGAGAGAGAGGAGGAGAAGAGA